AATTCCTTAGGGTGACAAGCAGGGACCTTGAACGTCTGACACCAACCTCACCTTATGCCACTGCCTTTTATCCTTCATCCAGAGCAGGTATTCAAGTACTATCTCAACATATCAGGATACTTCTCTCTCCTGTGCTTTTGTGCATGTTAACCATCTCTACACATTAAGTGTTGCCTCAGACTAAAATAACTTGTCCCCCTTTCTAAGCCAACTATTTCAAGATTGAAAGCCAATTTTACCTTCTTTGGGATCCTAAGAAATATTAGGTATTTCTTCACCCAGTCCCTATTTTTAAAATACTTCTTACTTATTATATGGTAACATAATTATTGCGTTGTTTTGGTAAGTATGTGTCATTTCCCTGTTCTACGTTTTTCATGCTTTCTACATTTAGAACAAAATTCACATTTCTCTTAATGATCTATAAGGCCACCATCTTGCTTTGATAAGTTTTCTGAGCTCATTTCCTACACCCTTCTTCTCAGCTGAATCTGCTCCAGAAACTTTGGCCTCCTTCCCATTTCCATGAACAATCCCACGGAGGTTCTTTCTGCTTGATGTTCCTTCTGCCTCTTGTCCTCCTCCCCAGATATTTGCATGGCTCATGCCCTCCTTTTGTACAGGATTCTTCTCAACACTACTTCCCTCTAAGAGCTGTTTGTCCCAAGTATGCAGTTTGGGATGACCTGTGCCTCATATTTCTCAGGGATCTTGAATTACATTCTCCATAATAATAGATTCCCAGACTGCCTTCTAAATTATAACTCTTTGCCTTGCCTGTAAGCCTAGATGGGCAACATGTTGATCATGTTGTAAGTGTTCTGGCACAGGAAAAGCATGGTTGGTATTGGAGTTTTCTTTTGGATATAGAACCAGAGCCAAGATTTCATTTGAAGGTCATGATTAACCATGGATTAACATAAACTCAAGAAAACCCTTTGGAAGATTTGACTCCTGTTAATAGGATAGCACATAATGTAACAGAAGGTCTGTCTGGGTTTATTGCATAAGCAAATGTGTTTCAAAGCAATGCAGAAGCTATGCACATCATTTGTAAACAAATTCCACAATGTAGGTAGTTGCATTTATGTAAGACATCATTTTGAGTAAAATGCATATAACCAAATTGAGTTTTGCTGCAGATGATGAATTAGTAAGTACTGTTATATTCTTATACATTTTATCCAATACATGAGGTTTAGCATTAATAGCAACATGCAGTTTGATGACCACATATTTGGCTCAACCCCAATAATACCATAGGATCCTCACTCTCAGACTGAATGTTGGCTTGTACTGACCAGCATACCAAGTGTGCAATGAGGGATTATTTCAACATCTGTCTGGGAAAAACAGATGTTATCGTCACAGACCTTCACCCCCTGTGCTCCTTGACAGTTAACAAGAATGGTTTCTGTGCACTCGGTTCATAAAAGCAAGCAAGAAATTTTAAAAAGTGGGCATTTTCACAATGCTTTGAATAAGAAATTTCAAAACTGGATGAGGAAATAGGAGGTGTGAAGGGAAAAAATAAGGTATTGTGAAGAAGTCTCACGCTCCATAAAAAGCCTTTTGTATAGTTTGTCTTATGTGGGATTTTATAACCATATAAAACCCAATACGCCTGTTTCATTGCAAGCAGGAGGATGCTGTATAAAAAAAGCTGGAGAAGCAGCATGGAACTCATAAAAGAAATGCAGTTTGAATTTACACACGCATCCATCACGGAGTCATGTGCGACAAGAGGCAGACCAAGACATTTAGTGGGAATGGAGGTGGCACTGCTTTCTTCTAGCAAAAGCCATTCAGTCGTAGCCAAGCACCTACTGCACACAGGCATCGCCACAGAGAGCAGCGATTGATTTTATGTCTCAGCAAGTGGACACAGCAGACTGGCCGCAGTTTCCTTGTTGACGGGGAAAGTCAAGGCCTACACATCGGGAAAGATCTCATTATGTCGGGGGGACATTTAGTCTCTTCCCACTTCTTGACTCTTTGGCTGCGCCTTGAGAGTAACAGGTGGCCACAGTTTCTGTGCCAAGTCCATTTGGACTCCAGAACTGTCCTTATTGGGCTCTGAAATACGGGGCTCTGGGAGAAAGGAAAGGGCAGAACTACCCATGGATCATTGGTATGAAAGTTAACATCAGTATATGGATCTAAGCACCTCCCTTCTGACACTTGGCTTTGACCCAGAACCGCTTCTATCTGCTGATGACAGATTGTGATATTTGTGCTCCAGTTTCATTGATCAACACTGCCAGCAAGGTTCATCTTACCTAGATTTTATCTAAGTGACAAAGAGAGGGGCGGATGGACTTGGCACAGTGTGATTTGTCTGGGACCTTGACCCTGCCATGGTATGGTGTCCGCTGGCAGTTGAATATTTTACACTCTTGGGTTTATATCCAGATCTTAATCCTCTAGCTGCGTTAAGGGAAAATGCCCTCAATACAGCCTCTGTCTAACCAACCTCCCAGTTGAATGTTTTTCCCAGAGATCAGTGAAGGACAAATCAAACCATTTACTCACAAAGAACCCTCCTCTACAGAAAGACTACTGTAAACATGCTTCCTAAATACAGACTAATTACACAGATTAAGATGGTGGTTTGGAGATTTTCAGGGAAATCTAAAAGCTACAGAACATCCAGACGGTTTTGTAAGTCTTTAGAATGCACACTTTAGAACAGCACAAATGAGGGCTTCTCTCCCATTAGGGAACTGGAGTCTGTTCCATTATCCCCATTGACTCTTATAATGTCCCTGGCTCGGCACCACATGCAACAGATGCAAAGGGTCACCAGTGAAGGGCAAAATATTTTGGGAAAATAATACAACTGTGTTATCTACATAGCCAGTTTTTCTCGCTTTGCACTTTCAGTGCTATTGCTTTGTTTTCATATAGTGATTTTCTTTTTTATTTGCTGGAGTTTATTTTGTTGAAACAGTGAAAAGACAAAAAAAAAAACCAACCAAAAGAAAAAGAATAGCAAAGTCTGCTTTCCCCCCAAGTATTACAAGTATTAACAAACACTGCCCAGATTCTGGTTCAAATGAGCTTTTTGCTGTCTTAAAGAATTGTGTCGGTTACATCCCTTCCTTGCCCCTGACCCTAAGTGATTTGCTTAGCTAATCAAGCTTAAATAATATGCAACAGGAAGGAAAAAATACTAAAAAATAGAAATAGCTGCAGCTGTTTTCTGTATTACAGCAGAATAGCAGAGCTCATCACTAAAGTAGATGCTCTGTTTTTTAAGAAAACTTACCAATAAAATTTTTAAATTATGCTAAATTAGGTTCAGAGTAGAGATGGAGACAGAGAGTCAAACTACTTCAAATTCTCAGTGTCAAAAAATTTGACTTTTTATCATATTAGTTTGTAGAAGGTTGCAAGACTAATGGTATATTCTAAGGCTAAAAGAAGGTGGAAATAAAGATGTACACATTACATATACACACTCAGACACACACACAGACAGGAAATTGTGGCCATCTGGATTTTGAGCATAAAGATGGTTGTTAGAAATTTTTAGGGGGGAGGTAGAAATGGCTAAAAACTCCTGGGTTGTGGATAATTTCAACCTTAGGTTGTTACACATTCTGCTATAATAGCATCCAAGTTCGTCTGCATAGTTCCCTTAATCTGCAGTTAGAATTTATTACATTCCATTTTGAATGAGTGGCGGTCCCAGTCATGAAGGGGGTAGGGTTACACTCATTCATGGAACCAGGTTGTGCTTGGAGAGCTCTCGGAGGATGCAGAAGTGAAAGAAAGATGTGGAAAAAAGAAGCAGGAAGGCCATGGGGAATGTTAGCCACTTGAGAAGCAGGAGCAGGACCCCAGCACCCCACGGGGATCCTCAGGAAATGGGAACAATGCACTGTTATGGCTGAGATGAGACCGTGGTGCTTTGTTTGGCTATGAAAAGAAGTGTAGGCACAGCAGCTTGGAATCCTACTGTAATAGAACTTCTCAGTGTATCTGTAGCTCTCCTCAAACCTGAACTTGACCATTTCTGTCAACCTCTGCTGCTCTTTTCTTAGTCTCCTCAAACTCTCTCTCTAGCTGTTCAATTTCTTACTTTCTATCGGGCTGTTTTCCTCTGTCTGCTTATTTGTATGCTACCCATTTTTCAAATCCTAGCTAAAACTGTACCTTTTTCATGAAGTTGACTCTGAGTCTTTGAGCCTGAATATGGAGCTCTCTTTCCTCAAGTCGTGCGGCACTCATGGCAGAAAGGCATTCGACAGTAACATGATAGCTTTCATTTTTTTATTCTACCTCCATTTTTGTTTTTTAACAAAAAAGTGGAAATCCTTAAGGTAAAGGAAATGAGTGTGTCACTTATTTTTCTCATATCTCCAAACTCCACCCATCCTTTTCCTGGATACTAGCATTTCATTAATGGGCAGGGAGTTGCATTAGCCTTTAAAATAAGCATTTTGTTTAAATCCAGGAAAAGCTCATGAGGGGAAAACAATACTGATGCATTAGTGGATACAACCAAGCATTTTTTCTCCTCAGTTGATGCTACTTAGGTAAGCTACTGAATGGAAGTTTTCACAGTAAAAAGTGATCAGATTTTTCTTTTTTTCAAATTTTATTGGTATAACCTCTCTCTGGTGTGAGATCAGATTTTTCTGATCTTTATTTTTCTTTATGCCCTGTCCAACTTAGCATATTCTTACCTCCTTCTATTTATAAGTTAACTGTTATTGTATCCAACATAACTTCATTAAGGGAAATGAAAATAGAGTAAAACCTATAACTTCCTTTAGTAAATAAGCGAATCAACTTGGGAGAATGTAGATCCTTTCAATAATTATTTAATATTGAGAATATAATTAATTTAATGAGATACTAATATTTCAAATCTCAGATCAACTTGAATACTACAAGTTAAATCATTAAAGTATAACAACAGACATGAATAAAGTGTAAATGTGAAATAATTCTGCTTGCTATGAGTCAATGACATCAGAAGTCTCACTAAATTAATTTCATCTCCCCTTTTTACTATTAGCCCCTCTTTTTATAGTTTCCATTTAGGGCATTGCTTTTTCTTTATCTTGTCTTGTTTCTCTTTTGCTCCATGACTTTTTCTAACTATTGTTCTACAACTGTACATTCTCATAAGTCTTTCTTACCATACATAACTAACATCATCTGAAAAAAAGGCCACATTAAGAGTACACTTGGAAATAAAATAAAAGTGATACTTGTAATAGGGTTAGATTTTATAATCAGAGCATACATAAAAAGAAAACTATGCATTACTGATGTTGACCTTGAAAGTCCCTTTAAAGGATGCCAGGTGGGAGACCTTCTCCAACCAAGCTTAGCAAAGTCAGGTTTTCCTCCAGCTTTGAAACAGATCATGCTGTATTCACTTGAACCACAGCTAACACAGTTGGTCATGTTTATCCAAAAATGAGATTTTTAAATATATTTAATATGGGGTAAGATACTTAGCTCTGCAAGGAACATGGAACCAAGACGCTAGCAGAAGACAGATTTGGGGCTCCAAATTTTTGCATGTTCTTGGTTGGGCACAGTTCATAACTGTATAGCCAGAAGAGTCAATATCAATGAAATAGATATTTCTATTCTTCTATGTTTCTTTTCCTCTTTCCTTTCCTTTCTTTCTTTCTCTTCCTCATCCAAATGTTCTGTAGAAACAAAGTCAGATACCTGACTGTTATGGTCTTGGTCACTCACTTGAAAATAATTAAAGTTATGCATGAAGTTTATGAACATCTTACATATCAACTTCTGAGTCTGAAGGATGGGTTTTTGTATGAAGCCTTCATTATCTCTTGGTTTTGAATTATGTTAATATATTTGGTTAAGCAGAAAACTTGTGGTAAATATTTGCGGTAAATATTTGCCACCAGTACAATTACTAAAAGTGCTTCTTCTTGCCTTGATTATTGCATAAAGAGCCTTCAATTTTATTTTTTATCCCTCCATGCCTCAACTGAGATGCATGAATTAATGTGAATGAAGCTTATCATGATACAATTTTGCTGACAGAAGTCAGTGTGGCTTCATCTCTGCTCTCAGTTCTTGGAGTGGAGGGAGGAGACAGAGGAAAGGGCTGGGAGTCAGAAGGTGGCTACGCTTACATTAGTTAGGACAAAGCATGCAAATCTGTGTATTCCAAATCAGTCTAGATGACTCAGTGGGTTAGTTTTCAGGGAAAAAAAATCATGTCTCAGCATTCAACTCTGTTAAACATCATGAACATGAATGCAAGTCATCTTACCCTTGAAAATAACGCATAAATGTTCTAATATATACATTGGTAGTATATACATTGTAGTATATTTCAAATCAGTATACCAACATCGGGTACATATTACTAATTTCTCAATGACAGTATTAAATTTACTGATACATAAGGTATCAGGTAATTCTTTTCACTTGTTACTTATTTGACAGATTAGGGGAAAATTTTATGGCCCTCATTCAATTCACTGTTTAAGTGATAACTTTAATCTTTAAGTTCATGAAAAAATAAGGTGATTCAATAGAGAAAGGTTTTTTCCATCCATAAAAACAAAATTTATTAGGCAATTTTTGCTTTGCCAATAATTTTTCTAACTCTATCACAAGGGAAGATAATCTATTTTTAAATTCAATATAATAAATAATTATAATTGACTTACTTAAGTTTTAACTCACAAAAAATATGCTAGTGTAATTTTACAGATTTAGGCACAGTGGTAGCAGTATGATGTATAATTACTGATCTCAGGAGCATATAATGTCTACTCTTTATGCCTTAAAATATATCTCAATTTATATTTGTAGTAATTGGAAGCTCTCAAACCCAGATGACTAAAGAAGCTATAGAAGGGAGGTGTTCCTTATATCTTTCAGTCATGGCAATCACAGCATTTCTGAGTGGCTACTACAAAGCCTTTAGTAATACATCATCTCATGAATCTTTACAACATCTTTGTGACATTAAGGGAGTTACTTACACTGAGGCTCCATGCATCAGGAATGTTGCTTCAGCTTATTCAGCCTGCTGGTGGCAAATTCAGTCATCAACATGTGTTAGCATTTCATTCCATGTTTCCTGCTGCCTCTAAAGTTTGGGATTATACTTTAATGTTTTCAAATCAGAAACAATAATACAAATTTCGACTGTGTGAGGCAGGTGCTAAATTTAGGCCTGGTTTCTAAAGCAGACTGAGATGCATTGCCAAATTGTAGTGTTACATGACAGATGCTCAAGATGGTTGGTTATTACCCACACAGATTCAAGACTGGTAAGATTACTAGTCAACAAGACGATACTTTTCTTTTTTAAATTCCAAGATCTGTAGGGAAATGAAGTTTTCTTTTCAAAAAATTGTCAAGGTATCTGATCCTGATCTAGACTACTTTTTAGCATGTATCTAACATGATTTTGAGACAATTTTTTTTCTTTTTGATTTTTTTCAAATGAGAACTTTTAGCTTCCAATGGTTTTTTAGAAAGATAATATTTCACAAAGAAATGAAACATTTAGACTGCTTAGTAAGTATTTACCAGTTATCCACAATGGGAGATGTTTATAGAGGATTCAAAAGAAGAATGTGACGTTAGACTACATCTTAAAGAATCTTTAAAGCAGCAGAGGACTTGTATACATTTGTAAAACAAGAAACACTGAAAGATGAGTACTGTAACCAAGTGGAAAATGATTAAAGAGGAAATTAGTTGCATTAAACCTTGTGCAATTTTAAATCAAGAAACCTTGTTGAAATGTGTCATGATATAAGAAGTAATTAGCATCAAAGATGATTGTAAAAGGTTCAGGCTTTATAACATTAAGTATATGATCTCTGAAGTTAAAGAAACTGGATTAAATTTGACAATTAGCAGCTGTGTGATTTTAGAAAAGCTCTTAACCTCTCTGTGCCTCATTTGCTCATCTGTAAATTGAGGGCATATTACTCATAGGCTGTGCTATTTATGTGATGTGAGTGATGCTCGTGTTTACTGTACTGTTCTAAGCTAAATGTGCATGAGTCATTGAGTCAGACATTTTGCCATCAGTTATTGCTTAGCAAGAGCCATTAGCTGTTCACTCTCTTTGACTAACTCTACTCATACGTGCTCATTATTAGCAAGGAAGCAAGGGTAGGGTCGATTAGCATTCATTGAGTTGACACTGGATAAAATTCTGGATGACTTTTTTGACTTAACCTCAATGGTAACCCTTGAGCTTAGCCTCATGAGGCCCAGAGTGAACAAGTAATTTACCAGTAGGTAAAGACTGGAGTAGGATTTGAACACAGACCTTCATGAATCCAAGGCTCACATTGTCAATGCCAAGATTGCCGCAGGAGAAAAACCTTGCTAGCGGCACAAGTAAGTTTATGAAATACAATCTATTATAATGAAAGTGATTGGAGGCAGTCTAAATGGCCAACATCAAAGAATGAGTTTAATTAAATATGGGAAATGAATGTAGTAAAAAAGATGAAGTTATTAAAATTATAATTTCATACAGATGCTCCACAACTTAAAATGGACTTACATCCCCATAAACCTTTCATAAATTGAACATATTGTAAGGCAAAAGTGCTTTTGTTACATCTGACCCACCCAGCATCAGAGCTTAGCAACACAGTGCATTGTAGAATAGCATTGTTTACTTCCTGGTCTGGTGGCAGACTGGAAGCTGCAGCTGCCTCTGCTGCCCAGAATCAACAGAAAGTATTTTACTCCATATTGCTAGCATGAGAATAAATCAAAATTCAGAATCCACACTATGATTTCTACCAAATATGTTGCCATTACATCATTCTAAAGTTGAAAGATCGTAAGTCAAACCATAGTAAATCAAAGACCATATAATAATTATTAAAACTATTTACAAAGAGCATGGTCCAATAGTATAAAAAAATTGCTATTTACATAAAATATGTAAGCATGGAAGAATTTGAGAAACTTAAGTTAGTGTTTATATTTTATCTCAGTGTAATTTAAACTGCATTATTTATTGCAAAAGATTTCTGCAGATAGAAATTTAGATCTATTAATTTTTACATTATTAAAGGTCATTTGTTCATAAAATTACTTAAAATATATAAAGCACTTATTAGTTGTTAGTCACAGAGCTTGGTTCTATGTGTAAAACGAGAAGACTGAAGTAATTTAATGAAGGAGCTTGCTTTCTACTGAAGCCAATAAAGACATTTACACTTTCAGAAGGTATTTGACACATAGAAAAAAATCTGGATTTGTATAACATTCTCTTTCATCCAAATTAAAATCTAGATGATTAGATTAAGTATAAAATTAAGTTAAAATAAAATGAATTTTAAATATAGGAGAATACTTGTTATTTAAACCACAGGTATGTCAATATATTTTTAATATATAAGGCCTGATAATTTCTTGAACTGATGAATACAAACAATATTTAGTTGAGTTACAAAAAAAAAAAATCTCAACACAAGAACCCATTTGTTTTTTCAACTGCAATACATTAAAGACAAACCTAAAATCACGAAAACCTCCAGTGGAGAGAAACAGATTAGCAAGAAAGAATGGACAATTAGATAGTCTTCTTGATTTCCGAAGACAGACGTCAGAATTTAGTGACATTTGACCTTAAAGTTCTGGGTGATTAAATAATAACAGTCTACTAGTTTCAGTCTCTATACAAACTATCTTTAAAAACTTATAGTGTCAAAGAGACTAATCCAAGTGTAAAGTGGGTCTGAATGGTGATGTACCTACCAAAAGGGAATGAAGGCATTTGAGGGAAAATACAAACAAGAGCTTAAGAGTATCAATTACCAATTAAGAATAAAAGATAGAAATTGGGAACAAGGGAAATAGAAAGAAATTAAAACAGTCAAGAGGATCATGAAATAGGAAAAAGCAATTATGCAAGTAAATGAAAACAAACACTAGTTGCGATAAGAGAATAAAATGCTGCACAATGCCTGTAGTTAAAAAATTAATCCAGATAATATGAAAATCTCAGCAAAAAACATGCAGATTGGAAAGAAGTGTTTAGAATTGACACTTTCTGAATTATTTTAAATTTTTTGAATTGTTAAGAATTTCAAGGTCTTACTGTAAGTAGTTAGTATGTATAGAACTTTAAAGGGAAGACACAAAATCTTGGGTGAAATATCCCCCTAAAAACCAATTAATAAAACAAAAAGAAACTGGGGTAGAAAATGAATCCGAACAAATTTACAAAACAAAAAAACTATAGAAATAAAACAATATTTGGATTATAACAAGCAAGGTTACTGGGCTAATTGAGGCAGTCAAAGTAAAAAAATTCTAACTAGGTTAAGACATGATTTCTTGCAAAAAGTTACACCTATATATATATCTGTTGAAAATGAGAAGAAAAGGAGAAAAGTACAATATAGTACAATTGTAAGTAAATGATGGAAAAACTATAATCAGAAAAGACTATATAGCTGTCTTAATAATATAGATCAAAATAATTTTAAATACAGAAGTTTCATTACATATAAGAAGAAAAGTACAAAACAATGTTCACTACATAAAGATATGAAAGTTATAAATGTACATTTTCTAATAGTGTTCCTGTCTATAGAATATATATATATAAATGATTTAATTTGGCTGAAAAGTAGAGGTTGATGTTTTTAAAAATTAGAATAGTTTGAGTATAAACTTGGATCAAATTCAACTAACCTAGAAACTTTTAAGAAGACACAGTTCAAAGTTACACTATTTAAGAAATTTTAAAATATATTTTAAGAAGATTAACTTTCGAAAAAGACAAAATTAAGGGAAAAATCATGATGAAAATTCAAAAATACTTGGACCAAAGTAAAAATGGTCCTCACCAAATTTTGTAGGAGGTAGCTAATTTTTGCAATATTTAGATAGCAATACAGTTTTGTGTTTATATTAGGAAATAAAACATTAAGGTTAAATTAAATATCTTAATTTTAAAAAGAGGAAGAGAATAAACTCGAGAATAAATGACAAATAATAAAGATTGCAGTAGGAATTATGACATAGAAAAAGTTGCGTATTATTATAAATAATTTTAAAAGCATAAAAATTAGTTCATTGAAAAAGATTATTATTTCTTTTTTGGTACCAGGGATCGAACTCAGGACTTTGTGCTCGCGAGGCACGTGCTGGAAACACTGAGCTAAATCCCCGGCCCCTGAAAATGATTATTAAAGTGAACAAAAATGTCAGACAAGATTGAATCAAAATATTGGAGCAAATATATATATATTATACCTAATGACAATATATCTGGTTACAGTTTATATCTAAATATTATCAACAGAATAAGAGAAATAGAAACCTAAATATGCTGCAAAAGTAACAAAACAATTGTACACACTCTAACTGCTGACGAATGAAGTCAGTAGATTTAAAAAGTCCTTTTATAATGGAAATGATAAGTTTAAATATTTTTCTATGTGAATTTTATCAAAAATTCAAGGAGCAGATAATCCCAATCTTTTTTTTTTTTTTTTTTTTTTTTCTCATACGCAGGATCAAACTCATGACCTTGCACTTGCAAGGCAGATGGCGGCACCACTGAGCTAAACCGCCAGCCCCTAGATAATCCGAATCTTATACAAAGTATTTCATAAGATAAAATAATAGGAAAAAAACCCCATGCAGCTCATGTTTTTGAGCTTAATGTAAATCTTATATAAAATCTAGAGAAAACATTAGAAGAGAAAATCACAAGTCAATCTAACTAATTAATATAATTGGAAAAATAGCAAACAATGTATTAGCAACCTTAAATCCAGCAGTACATAAAAGAGATATTACATCATAACGAACCTGCTTGTAAGAATGCAAATTGGATTGAACATTAGAGGCATAATGTTATTCTCCACTTTAGTAGACAGAATAAAATCACATCATTATTTTAACAGACGTATAATTCTGTGATAGAATTCAACAACCATTTGCTATATGTAAAAAGAAATTCCTGAGCAAACTAGAAATAAAACTAAACCTCCTCAATCTGATAAGTAAAATCAAAGAATAAGAAAATGAATTATTTGAATAAAAAGAATTTAGCTGTGGCTGCTTATATAAAACAACACATAAAATCTATTTTCTATGCATCAATATTATTTTCTATATATAAAACTAATATATAGCTATAATAATATCAATATACTAACTCAAGTTCAATATATGAAATTTGATTTTGTTTGTACCTTCTAGTACCATTTTCAGTAGAAAGACACAGGCAGGTAAACCCATGATACTTATGGACAAAATGAAGTATAGAATGGAATTCAAAGAAAAAAATGATACACGTTAGAAGAATGCCTGAAACTAATTATGACAAATACCACATTTACCAGTGAAAATACTCAATATTTAAACATGACTTATTTCTAAAATGATTGAAAGATTAAATTAATTCCAACAACATCTGACAATATTTTTGTAATAAGCTCATTTCATAATAGAATGAGTAAATTGAGGGGGACCAAAAAGGCCAAGAGATGTAAGTGTTTCAAGATAGAAAAATTTACTGTTAATATATAAAAACAAAGGCAATATTTAATGGCACAGAATTGACAGAGGTCTGAATAATACCCACCCATATATGGAGACCTGGCCCGGGACAGATGGACCCTCGCTGGAAGATGGACTGCTCATTAGGTGACGTGGGTCTTGGTAACTTAAAAAGGAAGAAAAATAGGAAAAACAAAGAAATATTTACTCAATACCATATGTGAAGCAGGATTCTAGATAGATCAAGTATCTAACGTGGAAGTCCAAATTTACATGTTTAAGATGACTTCAGACTTAAAAAAAAATTCATAAACCAGATCTTAAACAACGTTCAAAACATAAAAAGACAAATTATATTAAAATTAAGATTAGTTCTCAAAAGGTACTATCTAGGAATTCAAAAGAGAAGGCATAAACTTACAAAGAATACTTTCAATGCATAAAACCAGCAAAAGATAAGTAAAAAATTTTTTTTAATTCTATCAATTAATAAGAAAAGACAACCAGTACAAAATATGTGAACCAGGGAAAAATATGTGAACAAACATTTCAGAATAGGGAGAACAAAAATGAAACTAAAATTACATGAAAATGTTCTCAATTTTATTAATCAGAAAACTAATAATAACCATCATTTTTTAACATACAGGGTTTGAAACCACTGCAACATCTGAAAATATTCAGTACTGTCCTCCTAAACAAAGGATTCAAACATGGTGAAGATCCAAAATAAAGCCACTCTGGAAAACAAGCAATCCACTCTTAAGGATGAAAGGAGAGATAGATAGATAAATAGGATAAACTCACATGATAGGAATGATATGAAGGAATATAATAGTATAGCACTTAGCAGTAAAAATTTTTCATTAATAGTGAGGTAGTAAAAGTAAATTTTGTGCTCTTCATTTAATGGAATACAGTGAAGATAAATATAGTAATCTTACATAAAACAGCATGGAAGAGACAAGTTGTCACTAAATAAATACATAGAATAAGAAAAATGTGGGCAGTGGAACTCAATGTGCAGGCCACCTGAAACAAAATAATATATATTTTAGAGAGCTATACATATGTGATAAAATATAAATAAGTGTTATGAAGTTATTAGTGTAAATTTTAGTCACTTGTGAGGGAGTGAAATGTTTTATAGGGGGATATATAAGTGCCATTAAGGTATTTCTCAAGCTTGGTGTTAGCTACAGGGATGGTCATTTCATTTATTTTGATTAATGCGTTTTAATAGGCACATACATAGTTATACACTCTCTGACATATAAGGTATATGTTGCAATTATGAAGTTAAAAAATTACTTTCAGTTCAAGCAGAGGTTCTTTTCATCTACTGCATTCTAACCATTAAAATCATTTGTTGTTTCGCACTAACCTAAACATCGGCTGATACAGTACAAGGCAAGAGGAAGTAACTCTTTCCTTCAGTCGCATGATATTGTCCAAGGAACTCGCCAAAGGGCCGTGACATCTAGATTTACAAGGAATGCCTGTGAGAAAGTAAAACCACCCTAGTACTGAGTATCTACCATCCACCAAGTGTGCTGCATCAGCTTCACAGCTATCTCATCGAACACAGTACTCCCCTTCGGAGGTATTATTATTATTCCCATTGATTTCTCTAGGAAAGAGAGAGCTAGAGCCATCTGTTTGCAGGCCTGAGATTTGTGGCCAAGAGAGTTTCTCCTTATTTGTACTCATTCCATCTCCTCATAGATTCTGCCCATATTTCTCACCCCCGAGACAGTGAGCTGAGACAAGAGCTTTGTTTCACAGACTTATCCTCTAATTCTGAGCATGAGATGAAGCTTGGAGCCTCCTCAGTAAATGTGCATTTAATGACTCATTACTGCTGGAAGCTTTAGGAATGATATTTTGGGCTCAAGTATCCCTTGTGACTCATGATGGCCAGAAAAGGAGAGGAACATTTCCAATTATGTGATTCAGTGTCTTCACATTATAGTTAAGTAAACTGAGGTCTGACATGTTTACGTGATGGGTCTGTGACATGATATCCACGGAATGAAGTGGAAAATCCATTTCTCTCACTCTCACTCTTCTTTTGGTCTTTTCACTTTGACATCTCCTCCTGTGGATTAGCTACTTTCTCTATCAAGTTGGATAGGGTCCACCTAAAAAGTTTAATACGGATCTGTGTATCCCATCCGTTCTCTGACTTAGGTGTTTTCCTTAGTGAATAGAGCTCAGGATGTTTTAATTAATTTATTATGTCCCTTCAATTAGGGGACCCAATTAATAATTGAAATGGGTTTTTAATTGGTTTATGTCCTCTACGGTATCATATGAATAACATAAATAAACTAACAGGTTAGCATTAAATTAGTTTTCATCTACGTGCATATCTTTTGCCTCCCAGTACATTATCTATTCTTAACCTCCAAAATTGAATGTAACTTTTTAAACAAAGACATTCGGATGCACTACCTTTTTTGTTGTTTTTGTTCCACTTTGAGGCAATATTTTCTGGTTAACGTGAAATGTGTTCATGCTAACTGTATTTTTCTCATTGGATTCATGATCCCCACAGTTCTCCAGTCCTGCAACACCGAAACAACCAGTGTGTCATCTCTTTTCTTCAATCATCTGTCTGATCATAGACCCTTGCTACTTTAGAGATAGAATAGACAGCAGGGGGGGAGGGTGTCCCTGCAGGTCCAAACTCAACATCAGGGGCAGTGGTCTCTCTCCAGGTGTCATATAGCTTTTCCCCTCAAATGCCTTCATTCCCTCTTGCTACGTCACCATTCAGGACCATTTTACACTTGGACTAGTCGTCCTTTCTCTTGAGAATATCCAAATAATTTATTTTAAGGAAAAAAATAAAATTCCTACCTATTTTTCTTAGTATTTGGTACAATATCAGGTTCCATACTGTCTCTCTTACATGTTATTGTGAGTGAAGTGCTCAAGGCTTCTAGTGTTTTCTCCTACTTCTAGCATTAATTCCATGTACCCTCAGCAAAGTATCCAAATACATCCCACCACTGAATTTCTGAATTCTGAATTTCTTATTTTGCTAACCTCCATTTCTGGAGCACTCCTTTCTCTCACACAGTGGTAGCAATAAATTCAAGTTCCTCAGAAACAGCAAGTTCTCTGTAGAAGTCAATGGCACCTAATCTTCAGTGATGGGGGCATTGATGTCTGTGCTTTTCTTCTCAAACCAGTTCCTGAAAAAAAAGTTAACACCTTGCCTGGTTCTCCAGTCATTTCAATAAACCCCTTTTCTGTCTTTCTTTCTTTTTTTTTTTTTAGTACCAGGGATCAAACTCACTTGAGAGGCAGGTGGCAGAACCACCGAGCTAAATCCCTGGCCCTCAATAAACTGCTTTTCTTAAACAGGCCAGAGTCAACTTTTGTTGCTTGCACAACTGAACCTTGACTGATACAGTAATAATAACCACTGCTATATTTTACAGAATTGTTCATTAATCCATTAAGTAGCTTCAACTTCCCAAATATAACGGAAAATAAAATTTAAAAATTGACTAATCTGAAAAAAATGGCAAGTTAAAAAATAAAGATTAAAAAATAAGTCACTTTTATCTTCTGTCCAAGGTTCCACAAAAGAATATCTGACACACTCACTGTCCCAGAAAGCCAGCGGGAGGTAATGGCTCACACATCCTTTTAAGATGTAAACTACATCTTCATTCCTCAAGGGGACACCGGTGATCACCAGCCACCAGGAGTGCCTGAGTGTCACAAAGGTCTATTCTTTGTCAGTTCATACTTCTAATCTTTAAGGTCAAGGTTCTATTCTCTTGGCACACCTTAGATGGGAAAAAGGCAACATCCACATACCAAGATTCAGAGAGCATGACTGGGAAAATCCTGCCTCTGATCCAGAGGGACTGCCTCCCTGGAAAAGTACTGATGTATATACAGTGACAAAAAGCAGAAACAAAACACTGAGTTTGTCCAACATGAATCTCAGTCAGTGTTTGCAAGTCTCTGGGGTGGGTGCAGGTATTGTCATCCTAGGCAGATAAATGAGGTTCAGAAAGGTGAAATCCAGATCATGATTATGTAGCTCAGTGTTAGCAGAGCTAGGCTTTCGCTTTACGTTGATCTAATCCAGCAGGTTCTATGTCTCTTCTGAAAAATTCTGTCTTGCAAGGAAGATTTTTCCCATGAAATTTATCTGAATACTTTTCTTTACCTCTTCCCCAGAATCTGTGGAACTCATCCCCCTTTAGCCCTAAATATGCTACTGCTAACATAACGCTTTACCGGAAGCCTTTGTTTACATGCCAAGCTCCCAGGCTGTATTGTAAATTAATTCCCAAGAACACAGATTATCCATTATTCATCTTTTTTTTTTCAGGCTGTTAGCATAGTGCATGGATTATAGTAGGTGCTCACTAAATATTTATTACATGAATGGATGGGTGAATAAAAGCAGAGAGGAAATCCATTTTGTATGCGTAGCCATGAAATATTCACTTATCATTTCCCAATAATACACAACTCAGAGAACTTGGCCCTGCTCCCTAAACCAGAACAAAATCACTATGGCCCACTTCCGAGAAAATAACTAACTCCCCTAGAACGTCATTCAAAACTCCCACTACGTAAAACACTCTCGTGAGCTGGCAGGCCTGGAAAAGCTGGGCCTCCTCACTGTACTTCTGACTCTTCACTACTGACCAGGGGCCAAGAAGCCCCAGAATCAAAGCTGTGAGTGGAAGGTGAAGGGGCATGCCTTCACCTGTGGATGCTGTGGGTCCTCACCTGGGACAGGACTTCCGGGAATCATCTCAGTCACCAGTGGGGGAAGTTCAGAATATTTCCAAGCATGTGAGTCGCTTTCATGTATTGAGATGGTGCCTGTGCTCTGGGGATTGGCAGAGAACCAGAAATGTATGCTATGGCTGTTAAGAGATTAAGGGCTACAGCCATAATGATTATGAGAAACTATAAACAAACTAAGAAATGGTCATGGAATCTGACTACGTTGATTTCCATTTGATGGAATCCAATTTGTAATCTTGAGAGCAAAAGTATATATATATATCTTTTTCTTTCTGTCTTTCTTTCTCTCTCATTTGTTCAAAGGAGGCACCAACGTGGAGAAAAGAGTACATGAGCTTTGGATTCTGAAAATCCTAGGTCAATTTGGTTTTCTGTGCCATT